ATGACACTGCGAACCATTCAATTTTTAGATCTGAGAATTATAAAATAGTACCAAGATTGTTAATGTAGGTTAAAAATTCAAAAGCAAGTGTATAACGTTTAATTATTTACCTATTTATGCAATAAAAATAAACATCTTCCAACCATTTATTGAAATTAGTATTTTTTTTTTTTACTTGATCTTTAGGGGAGTGGTTTAATTGGAAAAACAAACTTGTTTTTTTTTTTTTTTTGCATCGTTTCGTCACCAGGTGCATCGACCTCTTCAGGCTTGATTTAAAAAATAAATAAAATAACAAAAATTATGATTAATGCCTTAATATTATACAAAGTCAAAAAATAATGGCCTATGTTAACACTGAAGAGAGTATCGACGTATCGAGCAACTTACTCGTACTTAAGTCAAAGGCGTCAGCATTACAATGTTATTAAAAGGTTATTAATATTATTAAATTTTTCATTGCATTTTGTGAAAAACATCTTCAATCACTATATCAGACTACATTAAGACACAACAAAAACTAATTCTTCTTCGGCCAAACCAACCTATTTAATAGTATATTATTCACCTAGGGAGAGAAATAAATAATGTTCCAGGTCACAAGTAATTTTTCCTACCTAGGTAAATAATGTACTATTGATGCATTGAATCTAAATCTAAAGCTTATTTAGGTCTTAAACACCTTTAAATTTTTTTGAAAAAGTATAAAAGTAACAAAAAATAGTAATAAGTACTTGTGTATACCTAATTAGAGCATTGACTCATAATTTTAAAGACCATACAAACGTATGAACTCTGCTTGAACGCATGTATTGTCTTAATCGTGTCCTAAATTTCAAGAAACTTTTTTACTATAACAGTGTCTGAGTACAAAAACAAATAAACAATTACGGCATCGTAACTCTCATTTTTCAAAATTAAATATTTAATGAGTTACTTTTTTTGGTTGAAGAAAATAATTAAAATAATTATGAGTTTTATTTTCAAAATGTAATAAATGAAAATTAAAAAAAAAGCTTCTTAAGGCCTTTTCTAACTATATAAATGTCTAACTTACACATTTGTATGCAAATAGTCCTCTTAAAGTGTTACCCATAATATTTTTAACTGACTGTGTTATCTCAAAAGTACTATACAAAAATCATAAAGAGATTTAGAAATCTCTGTCCACCTAAACATTAAAAAAAACCATATGTTTTTTTTCAAAGATGATGAAAGTAGAAGATTATTTCCTTCAATATATACATATATTATTCTTACACTATTTTACATACATATAATAAAAAAATATTTCGAAAGTAATGAAATTTACTTTTAAATAGTCGGAAAATTAGCGTTTTATTTATGAAAAACGAGCTTTTTAAGTCCACTTAACTTGCATGAAATTTTTTTAGTAACGCAATACAATTATGAGTTCAACCATACCGTTGAAAAAATGCACATTTCATATAGAATAACAATACATGTTACGCTATTTATGGCTGAATTGTCTGTTAAAAATTAAACCTGATTAGCTTCTTGGCAACTTAGTAATTAGCATTTTTATAAAACTGTTTCCAAATAACTAGCTAAAGGGTATCCCGCAAATCCTATTCGAATTGATACTACAGGTCTAGAAATACAGCGGTGGCTATGCTGACTTAAACCTCAAGTGGGACCATCGTCACTCGATGATGGTAGCAGCAATAAAATTTATTCTTTGCTAGAGAAGTAGCAAATAATTAGCAAAAAATTATGCCCTAAAGCTTGTTTTGATAAGTGTAAGAGATCTAAAAATATTAAGTTGGCTACGCTGACTTGAGTCTCAAGTCAGCAGGACCATTGTTTTTCGGAAACGGCTATGGCAAAAAAATCAATTCTTTGACAAAAAAATAGCAAATAATTAGTAAAAAAATATGGTGTGAGTTTTATTATGGCCCTATGACTTGGCTACGCTAGATTCATAGACACGTATAATACTACGACGGCAGCAATGAAATAACATTAGAACGAAAGGTCATATCATTTGCGTGTATTTTAATGACTTTTGTGTTTTTCAAATCAGAACTATAAGCGAGGGAAATGTAACGTACTGTCACCGTAAAACGCAATTAATCAGATTTTGAAACAGTTGAATTTTTATTAATAAATTAGTACGTATGCACTACGGTAATGCTAGCTATGAGATGCTGTACACTGGGCTTTGAGTTCCAAAATTGTAATAAAAAAACAAATAAGACATTATGATGGTTCTTACTTGGATTTATTGATCACTGGTTCGTGCCTGGAGTTCCATTCGTACATCCAATCATGATCGTCCTAAAACACAAAAATTTTGTCACATGAGAGTACGATAACTAAATTTTATTAACATTCAATGAACAAACTGACTCTTAGGAGACACATTGTTGTTTCTCTCAAACATTCTAGCTTTCCCATATTAATTAACCTACACATTACTCTTCTGTAAATGTAAAAAGTTAAACTAACATTTTGGTGTCACAAAGTAATTTTTTTTTCTCAGCATTGGCATGGTAACCGTAGTGGTTATCACAGAATAAGTATATTATTTCAAGATCCAAAATCCTTCTACTGAAAGTTTCGTCTTAAAGTACCAAAATTTATAATCAAACGATTTTTTGGTGACAAAATAATGTGGATGTGATGTTACAGATGTTGGAAAACATCTTTTTTTTTTGTAGTCAGAANCCAGCTCTCCATCGTTAGGAAAAAAAAAAATCAAGATAAAAATCGGCCCTTTTCAGGGCCATCAATAAATTTTACCGTAAAGTAACTTTCAATCTCATCGGTCTTTTTAAGAGCCATTAAACGTTGAACTACTTTTCTAAAAATAGATCTGCCCTTTACTGGCAGACATCGAGAGCAGAGCTGTTTGTCGTGAGTCTGGGAACCCCGGCCACCGACGACTTGTTACACTCGAATTACATAGGCCAGAAATTACTTTTCCTCCAAGATTAGCGTTCAGCTAACTTGGTCAATCTCATTGGCCCTTTTCAGGGCCATTAAACGTTGAACACCTGCCAAAGTATATATTGTAATTGACAAAATATAACAAACAGCACTTTTTAGGGTGCGCAAAATTTTTTAACAATGCCTCGAATCGCAAGAGGGCGAATCGGAAGGAGAACTTCTAATGCTTTGAATGTTTACAACTTTAGGAGTCGAGAAACTGATGCAGAATATTCATCGAGAGTAGAACAGCAACGGCAAACTCGACGATTGATCAACCATTTAAGTGACAGATCCGCTTTCTGTTACAATCCTGACATTGATTACTTAAATCTTCCATCAATTCAAATTGGCGGAATGGTTTCTAATTGCACTCATTGTGGCGCTAAAAAATGGAGAGATGAAGCTCCAGGGCTGTGTTGTTCTGGTGGTAAAGTTTCCCTTGATCCACTGGAAAATCCTCCTAAATTGGTAAGATGTCTGTCAATGGACGAACACCCCCTATCAAAACATTTTCTTGATAACGTCAGATGTTACAATACGCAATTCCAAATGACGTCATTTGGAGGGAAAGAAATTAGAGAAGGAAACTTTATGCCAACTTTCAAAATCCAAGGTCAAGTATACCACTTAATAGGTAGCTTACTTCCTGAACAGAACAAGAGTCCGCAGTGCTTACAAATCTATTTCATGTCTGAAGCTGAACAAATTTCTATTCGGTCAGATGATGCCCAAAAAAAACTTTGATTGAATCATTACAAAAGGTGATGCATGATTGCAATCCTCTTATAAGAACTTTTAAATCCAATTATGACTCTCGAACAGTAGATGAACTTGAAAACTTAAAATTAATTATTCATGCCGATCGGATTCCTGTTGGGGAGCATCGAGGACGATACAATGCGCCTAGAGTGAATGAAGTTGCTGCACTAATAATTAACGAGGAAAAAGGCCCTCGAGACATTATTTTACATGGTCGACATGGGCGGTTGGAGCGAGTTTCTGAGCTCCACCGATTCTATGACTCCTTGCAATATCCTCTTATGTTTGTTTTTGGAGAAAATGGATATTCTATTGATGTACCACTTTACGGTGTTCCAAACAAAACTGTTTCTTGCATGCAGTTCTACTCTTATAGGTTTATGTTAAAAAATGATCATATAAATTACCTACTTTATTATAAGAACTTACTTAATCAATTTGTTGTTGATATGATGGCAAAAATGATCACAGAGCGTTTACTTTACTTGCGAACACATCAAAAACAACTGCGTGCTGAAAGTTACATTCATCTACGAGATGCAATAAATAATGATCGTAACATTGAACCCTCCAGTATCGGACAGCCTGTAATATTACCATCCTCATTCACTGGCTCACCGCGATATATGCATGAAAAAACTCAAGATGCAATGGCTTACGTACGTGGGTTTGGGCGTCCATGTTTATTTATCACTTTCACGTGTAACCCTGAGTGGTCGGAAATAAAAAATGAATTACACAAAAATCAAAAACCTTCAGACAGGCATGACATTGTTTCAAGGGTTTTTCACTTGAAATTAAGGAAACTTATAGATGTCCTCACTAAGAAAGCAATATACGGCGAAGTTGATGCTTGGATCTATAGTGTCGAATGGCAAAAACGAGGGCTACCTCATGTGCACATACTTTTATGGCTTAAAACAAAAATTCAGCCGGATGAAATAGACAAGATCATTTCAGCTGAATTACCAGATCCTCAACAAGATCCCTTGCTATTCAGTATAATTTCGAAAAGTATGATTCATGGACCTTGCGGCGAATTCAACATGGCTTCACCATGTATGGATAATGGAAAATGTACAAAAAAGTTTCCTCGAAATTTTGTTAAAGAAACCCTAACTGCAGATGATGGCTACCCAACCTATCGTAGAAGAGCCCCTGCAGATGGAGGTCATAGTTCTGTACTTACAATTCGTGGCAAAGAAGTACAGATTGATAACCGTTGGGTTGTACCGTACTCACCCGTCTTATCACGATGTTTCAATGCACACATTAACGTTGAATTTTGTCATTCAGTGCAAGCAATTAAATATATTTGCAAATATATCAACAAAGGATCGGACCGTGCCACTTTTTCAGTTGGAAACATTGACGAAATTGCAAACTATGCCAATGGACGCTATATTTGTTCCTCTGAGGGATTTTGGCGTTTTTTTGACTTTGAGATTCACGCACGGTATCCTCCCCTCTTACATTTAGATGTTCACCTTGAAAATTATCAAAGAGTTTACGTAAATCAGCAAAACATTCAACAGATTCTCGAAAATCCGAGAAAAACAACGTTGATGGCGTTTTTTGAACTTTGCGTAATAGATGATTTTGCTAAAACTCTTTTGTATTCCGAAGTTGCCGCCTATTACCGATGGGACAGTAATAAGTTTGTGAAAAGAAAACGGGGTAAAGATGTTCCAGGCTGGCCAGGAGTAAAAAAAGATTCAGCTATAGGTAGAGTTTATACGATTCATCCCACCCAGTCGGAATGCTTCCATCTTCGAATGTTACTTCAATATGTTTGAGGCCCAACTTCATTTGAGTACTTAAAAACCGTTGATGGTGTTACTTACGCAACTTTCAAAGCTGCCTGTTACGCACTTGGTTTATTGGAAAATGATGATCAATGGAAAAACACACTCGCAGATGCTGCTTTGTCTGATAATCCATCTAAATTACGTGACTTATTTGCTATTATTTTAGTTTTTTGTGAGCCATCGCAACCTCAAATTTTGTGGGATATGTTTAAACAACAATTATGCGAAGATATTCTTCACTCTTGACGAATTCAACTCAACGATTTTGGAGTTGAATTTTCTGAAGAAGTGTTCAACAGAGGTTTAATTGAAGTAGAAGACAAGATCATCTCTCTTTCAGAAAAAAATTTGACTGCATTTGGGCTAAACTCACTGGTTCGAGATGAACTCTGTACTAATGATCCTTTGGAACATTCCATCAGACATGGTTATGATCATAACTATTTATATAACTATGTTGAACAAAATCTTCCTAAGTTGGTTCCAGACCAACGACAAGCTTTTGATCGTATAATTGACAGTGTCTTAAATAGTAGTGGAAAAGTCTTTTTCCTGGATGCTCCTGGAGGCACTGGAAAAACATTCCTAATTAATCTTATGTTGGCCCAAGCAAGATCGGCTGGAAAACTGTCCCTTGATGTTGCATCTTCTGGCATTGATGCCACTCTCAAGAGTGGAGGTAGAACAGCTCACTCCACTTTTAAACTTCCATTATGTGTTTTTTCCGGAGAAGATTACACGTGCCCGATACGCAAAAATGGCCCACTTGCAAAAATTTTTCAAAATACAACATTTATTGTATGGGATGAGTGCACAATGAGTCACAGAGCTCGCATTGAAGCAATTAATAGAACATTGCAAGATTTAAGATCAAACCAGAATTTAATGGGTGCCATAACATTTGTTTTTGCTGGTGATTTTAGGCAGAAATTACCAGTAATTCCGAGAGGAACTAGAGCTGATATTATTGATGCCTGTTTATAATCATCATTTCTCTAGCATTATGTAAAGTCTCTTCATTTACGTACTAATATGAGAGCACATCTCTGCGGAAGAAACATGGAATTTCCAACACAGCTATTAAAAATTGGCGATGGCACGATGGAAAATGAAAACGGTTTTATCACCCTAGATCAATCCATTGGAAAACTGGTTACAACTGTCGATAATCTTATTTCTGAAGTTTACCCAGACATTGAAAATTTATCAAACAAATCGTACCAATGGTTATGTGAGAGAGCCATAATTTCACCGAGAAATTCTACAGCAGAGGAAATTAACAACATTATTCTTCAAAAGTTTGTAGCTGGTTCTCGAGAGTACCTCTCTATTGATTCAGTCATCGATCCTGAAGATGTTGTTAATTATCCTCAGGAGTTTTTAAACTCCC